TCTTGTGCTGCCTTAGTTTGCGTTTGGTAAAAAAAAATACTTTCTTTTGTGTTCTCTCTACTCTACTACAGATAGCTTTAGCCAAAGCTTGTGGGAATGGAAACCAAGTAGGATTAGATGCAAAATCTTCCAGTGAAATGGTGTCTCACATCTTTCAAGCTTCCCTTCCTGTCAGCAAGCAAAGTATCTTCACTGTGCAGAAAGGAATGAACGAAACAATGAGGTAAAAACTCAGATCCAGGAGTCAGGCCACACGGCAGAAACCATTGCCCATTTCCCTCTGTGTCTGTAGAGGGAAACAAATCTAGAACGAGGCCTGTTCGAAGACGGAATGTTGTGCTTTGCTCTTCTGTGATGCACGATTATGTGCAGAGAGAGACACGACATTCACAGACAGGTATCGGAGCCCCTATTTCAAGCTCCAATGAAGAACTGAAATGAGGTTGGTTTTTTTCTGAACTGTAAGTTCTTGCATCTGTCAAGACTAAGTTCTTCGAGAACCGGCGGCACTGTTTGACTTGTTGGAGCTACAGCTACTCTCTAGTTATCTGAGGTGGCCTTCAGCCGCCTCATCGCTATGCCCTACCCTTTCCCTGTGCAAGTGCCCGTTATAGGACAGTTTCTAATTCCACTTCACAGACAACTTAAGACGACTGCTGACCCTTCAGAGGATAACAGGCCTCTGGTTGCAAATCCTTATCTCAGTGCAATGTGTCATTTTCCTGAAAATTCTTTTGGTGAAATTTCTTGGCTTAGGACTTGGTAACCGGGCATGGGGAGGGTGTTCAGCACAGGTTTGAATGGCTTCTAACTGCACAGGTTTTGTCTCTCCTGCCTAGGTACATCCTGATTGATTGGCTGGTAGAAGTGGCTACCATGAAAGACTTTTCTAGCCTGTGCCTTCACATGACAGTGGGATGCGTGGATCGTTATTTGAAGCTAAGACCTGTACCTCGGGCTCGACTCCAACTTTTGGGGATAGCCTGCATGGTCATTTGCACACGGTAGGGGTTCTGACTGCTGAACAGAAGTGGTTATTGTGATCATTCAAATTCATTTTTGCAGCTCAAGACTTTTTTTCCCCTCCTTTGCTAACAATAATACTGGAAAGAATCTTTGTCTTCCCGCTACATTGACTGTTGCTTGAACTGTATTCACGTACAAACACAGTCTCTGTAAATGAGACACAAAATTTAATTCCTTGAACGTGTTTTTAAATATAAAAAAATTCCATAGTGGTGGATTGGTCTAAAGGCATTCACTCCATCGTGCCATATTAGCATGGGTAACCCTGTAAGGAACAACTGCAGTGGTGGTGTTACACTGTTTAGTCTGTTATGCTCAGATGGTGTGGTGGAAAATTACCCTTCTGTGTTGGTTTCCTTAATGTCTTGCATCTTAACCTAGGAGAGGTTTGATAAATAAGGAATTACGAGTGCTCTAGTAGGTGGATCCAGCTTAAAGGTGAAATAAATGAAGAGCTGCTGTTTGTTCTTTCCTGGTCTGTACCTGGGAAAGTACCTTATAAAGTTGTTTAACAAGTACCTTATAAAGTTGTTTGACTCTTTGGTCATCTTAGGTGCATTTAACTGCCACAAAAACATGAGTGCACAAGCGCACAAATTCCCTTTCTTCTGGGGCTGATTGTTAATGTTATTTAATATTGCAGTTTCATCAGCAAAGAGATCTTGACAATACGGGAAGCTGTGTGGCTAACAGACAACACATACAAATATGAAGACTTGGTCAGAATGATGGGTGAGATCATTTCTGCCCTAGAAGGAAAGATAAGGGTGAGTTTGGAAAGTGGATGGAATATTTCACTTCTTGGGCCGCTACTGAAGTCAGGCTGTTGTAATCGGCCCTTCTCCTTATCTGAGATGTTGGGGTTTATGTGAGTGTTCTCAGGCAGCTGTGAAGACCATGTCTATTTCAGAGCACACAGATACTAAACCCTGTGCCTTTCTGTAGAGATTAAAACTGAAGTTTTAAGAGGCCATTTATTATTTCACTGGAGAATGTTTCAATGTGAATGTAGTAGTTTAAAAACAAATAAACAAACAAGAACCCTAACGTAATGAAAACAGCATCTCCTGGAAACAGCTGTTCTAAGTACTTGGTGCTTATCTTGTATTTCCAACCTCTGTTCTCCTTTCTGCACCAGATACCTACCATTGTGGACTACAAAGAAGTATTGTCAAATGTAGTCTTGCTGGAGAGAAGAACGCTTCACCTTTACAGCTTCATTTGTGAACTGTCACTCTTAAATACAAGCCTTTGTGTGTATTCCCCAGCTCGGCTGGCTGCTGCGGCACTGCTGCTGGCTAGGATACTACACAGGCACGGTAAGGAACCTTAAGCAGAGCTGCAGCACGGTATGTCAGCCTGCCTTGTCTTTTCAGGGAGTTTTGGGGGGTTTTTTTGTATTACTTAGTCTTCAGACAAGATGTCCCAATCACTTGGCTGAGGGTTGAAGAGGGAGATGGGTGTAAGGCTCCAGAACGAAGAGTCAAGTTCAGTCTGTTTTACCTCTTCATAGCTCTGATGAACCAGAGCGTTAGCATCAGACTGTGCATGCTTTGTGTTTAGATGAGAGACTGAAGATTTCTGTACTTGGGTGTAACCTCGGTTTGGCAGGTGAACCTTCCCTTGAAGCGAACTATGTACAAGCATACGCTTGTAAAGATCGTGATCTTCATCTCAGTAAAAAAACCCAACCTGTCTGATTACAGAACTACCAAGCTCTGTGAAATGCTAATACGTATTCTTTTCTCCAGCACACCCCTGGACCAGCCAGCTGTCTGAGTGCACCAGTTTCTCTCTTGAAGACCTGTTGCCCTGTGTGCTAAGCCTCCACCAGAAGTGGTAATAGTTTTGGAACTCTTTTGGGAGGGCACATGAGTACTCGGATTCCAGCTCTTGCAGACATGCTGCACCCATACAGTCAGCTCTTCCCAGTGAAGGAGGTGGCGTTGGGGAACTGCTTTGCTCCCCCAACCACAAGGCACTAAGGCCTGGGGGACAGTTCAGGGACAGCCATTCTGCTTCTCCCGACTGGTAGTGGTCCTGGGTGACAGAAAATGTGATGCTCCTCAAGGCTTAACAGCTTTCGGCTTGCCAAGCAGCACTATTTTCAGAAGACTGCAGCTGGCTTATTGGTGAGCTTCAGAAGGAGTTCCAGTAGCAAAAGTAGCTCATTTTTTTAGAGTACAAGGCAAATACCATGTTCATCTCAAGGAATGGAAAAGGAATTAGATGCTCGTTTGCTCAGAAACCAAGTGTCCTAGCTAGCTGCTCAGCTGAAACACCAACTGCCTTAGCACAGAGCTGACAGACAGAGGGAAAGTACTTGAACTGGCAGGTTTGTTAACCTTGTTTCATACGATCCATTCTAAGATTGGGCCTTTAATCTTTCTTTCCAGTTTCCATGATGATGTTCCCAAGGATTATAGGCAGGGGTCCTTAACTGCAGTGAAACAACGATTTGAAGATGAGCGTTACGAAGAAATAGGCAAAGAAAAGGTGGGTGAGCTCTTTGTCTTCATGTGCTGATGTCTGACACCCAGAGCAAAGCTACCATGCGGCAGGATATAGTAAACTTCAAATAATGGGAAGTGGGTTCTACCTGTAGACTTTTGGAGGATCGAATATCTAAATAAAGTGGTAGTTTTAAACTTGGTCTGCAGGGACTATAACTGCTCTGTTCGAGTACGTGTGGGAAGAACTCCCTGAGACAGATTTCTCCTAGAAAATAAGAGATAAATAGCCTCCTTCTGGCTATTTACTCCTTCTGGGAATCGATCTCATGGTCTAATTCTTACTGGCTTTTTGATTATTCTTTTTTTTTTTTTTTAGATGATGAGTTACAGCCAGCTCTGTTCATTGTTGGGTGTGAAGCAGGAGGACCCGGAGCCCAGCCCCTTGCACACAAACGTGGTGGAAATTCAGACTTTCCTTAGCTCTCCCTGTGGAAAGAGAACTAAAAGGCTAGTATAACTCATCACGGTAAATGTCTCTGAAGATGAGCATGAGCCTTTCTTCCTCTCTAGTGTCCTGAGGTTTCATTCTTAAATATGATCAGTTTTTCTGTAATTACCTTGGCATATCTATTATAAGAGCCAGAAGAGAAGACCTGGCTTTTAATGTGTGCCTTCTGGATTTTCTTGCTCCAGGAGGAGGGAAGACAGCATCCAGGATGACAGAGGCAGCTTTGTGACCACGCCCACAGCAGAGCTATCCACCCAGGAAGAAAGTCTTCTAGATAACTTCCTAGACTGGAGTTTAGATTCCTGCTCTGGTTATGAAGGTGATCAGGAAAGTGAAGGCGAGAGAGATGGAGATGGTGAGCGTTTTATTCTCGTTATAAAAAGCAGACAAGAGAATTAAAACTGTCTTTTCATCTATTGCTTAAAACTGTTTCTCAGGCAACAGAAGCCTGAACTTTCAGCTGAAGACCCATTGGAAAAACTCTCCCCCTTCCCCAGTGGTTATAACTGTTAAACTCTTTTAGAGGTATAATATATCTGTTCTCTTTCTCTATACTGCTTCAGAACGTGATGCAGGGTTTTGTAGCTGCTTAGCATTTCAAAGCGAGGCTGTTTTCAGGCAGGGGACCAAATGTGATGAAGGGCCCACTGCATTAGAAACACTGTAGTACCTGGTTTGCTGACTCTGGGCCTGGCTGTTCAGTACCTCTCCAAACAGTCTGAGGGGGGGAATAGTTACTGTTTGAAATGAGGGTGAACTCAGTGCTCTACCCTCCCCTCCATCTGTAACTAGACCTAAGGCTTATGCTTCTGCTTGCCTCTGTGCTGAATGCCTGCTTGGTGTCACCCAAATCAAAAGGAACCTTTTTCTTTTATCAACCTGCAGTGACAAGTCCCAGTGGGATCTTGGACGTGACAGTGGTCTATATGGACCCTGCGGAGCACTGCTGCCAGGACTCCAGCGATGAAGACAATCTGGCTGTGGAGTGGGCTGGGCACGCGGAACCACTGCGGGAGGCGACGCTGCCGGATGACGCTCGCAGCCTTTCAGCATATCTCACCCCAAGAAATCCTAACCTGGAAGGGAGCTCAGGGTACTCCTCTGTCAACAGTGCCAGTCCTACATCTTCTGTAGAAGGCAGCCTTGGAGTACCTCTCAAACCTACCTCAGCACTGTCTCGTGGCGGTGCCCTGAACAAGGAGCCAGGCCTGCCTCATTACCTGGAGTCCTGTTTACAGTCAGTCTGTGCTAGGCCTAGCGATGGCAAGTGTGACAGAAGGCAAGTCAAGCGAAAAAATGTGGCAGAACACAGTGAAGAAAGGGTGAACTTGGGCTTCTTAAGCCTCTGATTTCTTCATGTTCTTTCCTTTTCTAGGCTGCCTGGAAACAGTATTTCTGTTGTAGTCATACAGGGATGATAGTGAATAATTGTCAATACCTCCAAAAAAAGCCCTTCTCCTCCACTTTGCCTCTCTTTTAATTCTGTAGCTCACTTCTGGGCCATTTCCTTCCTTGATAGCTGCCTTTTTAATGTATTCCCTATTGTCTGATCCTCTGCAAATTTAAGATTCTTCTCCACATATGAAACTATAGCTCATTTTTGTCATACCTCACCAGTTACTCCTTGGTGATAGAAAAGAACTTGTCATGTCCCTTGCTTTGCTGTGAGGCCTGGCATTATAAGAGAAAGGCATTGACTTTGGTTCTCAAGTTACTGGATGTAACACTATGCTTGAATTCTTCCACTTGAAAGACCTTTTTTGAGGTTGTGCTGCCTTTTCCTTCTGGCCAGGTACTGCCTCGCTAAGCCGGTGCCTCCCTTTCTATATATATACCATTTGCTGCACTGATACAAGGTTTTTATGGATACAATCAAGAGGTAAATGAAGGCTCACAGCAGGTCTGAGCTTCTTTTTTTTACCTACCTCTCCGTTTTAAACCCTATTTGCCTCTGGCTCTAGTTGCCATATTTTTCCTCACCTGAAAAGTCCTCCTTCTGTGCCTTAATGCTTCACTGCCCAGTACTCCAGCACTGTGATCCCTGTGAACTGTTCGTCTCTGCTGGAACAGCGTGGTCGCACTGCCGCCTCCAGCCCGTGGCACTTCTTGTCTCGCACAGTCTTTCTTGCTGTTTCTATCGGTGTGTCCTCAAGGATGGCACAAACCACTTGAACACTACCAACAGGCAGCAATGCAGTGAGGGCAGCCGGTTTGTCTGACTGAAAGCCTGAATTTAAGCCTTGCTACTGGCTCCTAACCTGCAAGGGCAGCATATGCTTTTCTTACCAAAACTGAAATCGGTGCTGCTTTGGTAACGTTGTGAAGAAACCGCCTCCCCTGACCTCAGCCTAGTGAGCCTAGGCTAAAGCTCCTGTGGCTGCTAGGGAAACAGCCTCCTCTTCCCAGACACGTTAGGGAGCATTGAAATCCCAAGGTACAAGACCTCCAGGAGATGTCACTGAATTTAACACTGGAACTGGACTCCATGACTCCTCCTTTGCTTAGAAGTTACTGTGGCAGATGGCAACAGTTCAGATACACACAGTGTAGTGCGTTTTTTTTATAAAACTTTTTTTAATATAGATGGCTCCCTGTCTTACTTCAATGACTGGTATTGCACTGACCTGGGGCTTGGAGAACTGATGGGGTGTTTGGGGGTGAAGGCAGAGGTTAGGTCTGAGCCAAGTTCTTAGGGTGAAGTTGCAGCTGGGGCTGTGTGGAGGCTATTTACAGGAGTAGCTTGAGCACCTGGGAGCTGCACAAGTAGCACAGGGCTCAAACCACCCTCACAACTCTCCAGCAGCCCCAGAAAGCAAGCCTACCGAAAGGCCTTCAACATGCCAAGAATAATAACCACCTGAGAGCAGCCTTGGGTGCTTGTCCACAAAGTTTATTACAAAACTATGTACTGCCAGTGTAGTTAAAAAAATCAACAGTCCCTGATTTAGTTTTTCTGTGCCAGGCTTCACCCTTCTCCTGGTGGCTACATTGCAGTTCTCCAGATACTGCATACAATGACTTGCCATGCAGGAGTGTCTTCACATTAACTTGTTTTGGCAGCAGCTCAAAATTCAGCATTGGGTCACATTAAAATTGGAAGAGAACGCTTATAAAAACCTCTCTCAGTTCTAAAACAGGTAGGTAAAAGTTAAATATCTGCGGGAAAGGCCTCACACTGCAGAAAGCTTTGAACTCTTTTCCTGGGCAAGTTTTCTTGATCTGAAAGAAGAGGCACAAAATGGGAACATTAATCAGTTCAGTTCCTTCCCGGGAAGAGTAAATTAGGTGATGTTCCTGGGGCTTGCTGCTTAATCCAGTGGCCTTGGCTGATGCAGCCCTGGATTAAAACCAGATCTGTCTATCAAGTCTCATTCTTGGATGTGCCTCATGGATAAAACAGAGCCCCTGGGCCTAGAGAGCAACCACTTGCTGCCACGGGCCTGAGGCAATAAAACCAGAACTACAAGCTGCTTTCTGAAAAGGAAATGCAAAAAATACAGCCCAGAGCCCCAGTTCTTAAAAAAAAAATAAAATCCACACCCCTAAAAAAGGACAAAATTGCATTTTGTTAACACCTCCCCCCACCACCCCCGCAGACCATTCAGTCTTTGCTTTATTAACCCTTGTACTCCACTAAGAACAAGCACTTCCAGAAAAAATTGAGGAAACACCTGCTGCAACACAAGCTAAGCCTGGTTCTGTGTAACACTGGACTGGTCTCTTACTAGGGAATGCTGAAGGGCCAGTGCTCCCTCCAGGCGGCAGAAGCAGCACCTAGGGCTTGCCCGGAAAAGCTTCACAGACCAGCCTGCTCCGTCCTCGCCTCCTGCCGGCCAGCAGCGCTGTGCTGCTCCCGTGCTCGCGGCAGTACAGGGGACAAGCGCTTTGTGCTGCTCCAGTCTGAACTGCTGGCACGTACCTAGGGCACCATTTTGATATCCACCGAGTCATAAGCTGAAGCTTTCATCTTCTCCAGTGGCTTCTTGAAGAGCTGCCGCAGGGCCTGGTAGTCAGGCTTCTCCTCATACTCTAGTGCCATCACTTGCTGCAGGTAGCTCTGCAGGGCATCTGCAAAGCAAGGAATGTCGCTGCACGGAGCCGCAGAGCAGCCCCAGTTGTCCTTACAAAGCCGCCAAAGGGCCGCCTCGGGCTGCTCTCCCTACAGCCAGTTCGCCTGCCTGCCTTGGGCAGCTGCAGAAAGGGAAAACAAACCCAAAGCTAATATGAAGCTCAAAGACATGATGGGGAAATGATCTCTAGCCCCAAATATCACATTTTTGAAGCCACCAGAACACTTGCCTCAGTAGCAGCTTTTTGTTTTGCTATAAAGAAAACAAGAGATTTGTTCACAGGAGGAGCCTGTCACCCAGTCCATGCAATGCTTGGTCACCATTGCCAGTGGAAGCCATCCTGGACTAGCACCCCAGCACAGAGAACGTTCTAGCTCCAGGTGCAGTTCATCCTCCTTCCCCAAGTCCCACTATCACAGAGAGCAAGCCCCTACCTGGAACAGATCTCTGCCTGAAGCACTGTCGGAGAAGGCATTTCACATCCCCTTTGTACCTGGAATAGTCAGTGCAGAGCGCTGTCAGATGAGAAGCAACAGAGCAAGCATCTGAGCAGCTTGGCTTTGGCAACAGGGACAGAAAATACTAAAGGCTGAATTCAGATGGCCACGTTCTGAATGGAGGAGAAATCAGGGTCCATCAAACACCCTTTGGCCAGGCTCAGCCTTTACAGTGGGATTGACCCACATCCCAACAGTGTACTATGACTGAGTGATTTCAGTCACAAAACCTCCCTCACTGCTTTCTGCTGAGCATTTCCCAAGAGAGTAGATGATTTCTCCTACTTTTCCTTCTTCTCCACCACAGTTTCTACTTTGTCCAGCTCATCAGACCAAGGCAAGAAGCCACAGAGCCATTTCAGAAGACAGTAGCCCAGAGATTCCAAGTCACTCCGACGAGATGGTCCTGATGGGAAAATAAGGTAGTCAGGGATGAAAGCAGATCATATGGGAAAAAAAAAAAACAAAACAAACCAAACCAGCGTTTGGGAACCATCCCAGAAGAGGCCCAGGCTAGCACCTCTCCTCCAAAGGCAAGTAAGGACTCCAGCACTCGTTGCACAACCTTGAACATCTCACCTCCTAGCCTCTGGAGGAAGATTTGCCCAGTCTGAACACCAAGAGAGAACAGTCACATCCCAACCAGGAGCAGAACGGGCTAATTTAAATGCCTTTCCAGCTCTCACTGCTTCAAGGTCAGAGCAGAGCCTGCTGCAAATCTGTGCTGGGCAGGGATCCAGTCTGGCTTGAAACAGATCCCTGCCAAGCCAGCATGAAGCAGCCTTCTTTTCTATGCCTTGCACGTCTGCAGTAGCCAAGGCTCCAGATGGAGAAGGAACATCCCTGCACCTCTTGCTGCAGTCACTGAGTGACCTGGCAAGTCTCAACGCCACCCAGAGAGAGAGGCAAGAGAACACAGCCCGAACAGGACCTTGGTTCCAGGTGCACGCGAATGCCTGGAAAGCAGCAGCAGCAATGCCAGCAGGGAGCTCCAGGGAGCACTGCCACAGTAGCAGCTGTAGCTGAGCTCTGCTGGCTCACGTCAGAAACCAAGACTCACCGGTTCCCTTGTGGCTGTCCAGACTGATAAACTCGATCGTGCCTTCATGAGGGGTCCTGCTGCCTTCGCGCTGCGCCACGTGCTTCCCTCCCGGGCAGTAACGGAATGCATAGCAATAGCCTGCGAGGGTCACCTAGAAGCCACCAAGTTCACGTCTGAGTGTGTGGTGTGAATTCTGCTGACAGTGCAGCCCACAATCCTGCACCACAGCACCTGCTTGAGCGCTGCATGGGCTGCACTGCTCCTCTGCCCAGCAGCAGGAACCCGGGTGTTGCTCCATCCCATTTCACAAGCCCACCTTCACTGCCATCTCAGCACTGCTCCTGCTCCCTACCTGTGTGAGGTCTGCTGGGTTCAAATAGATGTTCTCAGCTGTGATGTCCCCATGCACGTACTCGTTCTCATGAATGTACTCCAGGCAGTCTAGCTAGGAGTAAACAGAAGAGGCGAGCATATCAGAACCACCCAGACTCCTTCAGCACCCTGGCTATCACTGAGATGGACCCTCCCCAGCTTCCCACAGCTGTGAGGAGGAGCACAGAAAGCACCACATCTCATAGCCTCTCATTTTCAAGTGTCAGGTTGCTCTCATTCTCCTTACCCCAAATTCCTTCAAGGTGACATATTGCTCAAGAGATGCTACTTAGAGACCCCAGCCAACCCCCCGGATCAGCTTTAAAACACCTTTGAAAGGTCTGGAAAGAAGTTATAGGGCTTTTCTG